AATGCCTATGGCATTGACAGCTTACACAGCAGAAAGATAGCATCAATGCAGAAAAAGTACAGAGTGAATCAAAAGTCTCAAGACACCCTTTTATTTCTGAAAACGAAGAGAAAGTGAAATATTTGAATACCCCAGCAAACATGAGTGAGGGGCCTATGTTTTTGTCTGTGTCCGGAACATGACCTCCATCTTGAAAGCTGTCATATTGGATCAAAGTCAAATATTTGACTACAGACACGCTGTGTTCAGCACCAGGGACATCACATTGAACACATCAAACAACAGACAAAGTTCTTAGTTGTTGTTGCAACTTTTTCTGTTTAACCTTTGAACCACATGAGAGATTGCAAATCTGATTGCACCAATTTGTTCCTGAGACAGTTCTGGTCTTCTTTGATAGGCAATTCTAAATGACCACTTTCCCATTAGAAAAAAGCGACTTTGATCCAATATGGTGACTTTCAAGATGCACTGTAAAAAATAAAATGTTGGATTTACTTAACCATGTTATGTTACCTGGTTTCACTTAACTGAGTTGAACAAATTCAAAGCAATATACCAGTTTTTTAGCCAAAGAACATGAGTATGTTGCTTTGAATTTACTCAACTCAGTTAAGTGGAACCAGGTAACATAACATGGTTAAGTAAATCCAACATTTCATTTTTAGAGTGCGGCAGCCATGTTCTGGGCACAGCGTATAAAAATAGGCCCCTTCAGACATTATGTGCCGGGGTATTCAGATTTTTAATTTTCTCTTTCTTTTCTGAAATAAAAGGATGTCCTGATTCTTTTGACTCACCTGTATATGTTAAACTGGAAATAAGCATACAAACATAATTTCAGTCCTCATAATGTGCCTATTTGGAATAACAGAGTTGTTTTACATAGAAGGAAGTCTATGTTTATGAAAGACTGGATGGAGAAACAAATATGGCCAATTACTCATTTAATGGATGATAACGGCAATATGTGAAGACTTTCGTAATAAATACAATATAATTTGGACTTCTTTTTATTAATATGTGCATTATTCTTGGTAGTTTTGTCATTGAGATTGTCAAATGTTTGTTCCTAATGATAAAGTTCTAAAAATAAAAAAGGCTCACCCTGTATTTAGGTTTTAGAACATTTGCTCCTGCACAGCAAAGAAGACCCAGGACTGTTGAACACCTAGAATCCCACATCAGAAAAGAGAGGGACGACATTCTCCTCTAAAACCTTCAACAACTGTTCTCCTCAGTTTGTACACGTTTAGGCTAAGGGGGTAATATGTATTTTCCAGGAACACAACTCACTTCTACCACAATTAACTATGTTACCTTCAGTTGTTATGAAAACACCTCATATATATATATA